GTGCTCACCCAGGGATGATGCGGTGGAAGGGGGACCCCCGGTAGTGCAGCCGCTCCGCCACCTGCCCCGCCCCCAGCTGGCCGCCGCACAGCGCCCGGAAGTTCTCGACAGTCCGGGGCGCCAGGTTGCCGTGCAGTCCGAGGACGATGCGGCCGGCGCGCTTGTCGGACTGTATGTCCAGGTAGCACTAGGGGTTGGGAGATGTGCGCGTGCGGGGTGGGGAGGCAAGGATTCGGGGAGGGGAATAGAGGTTAGGTGTACGTGCCAGGTCGGGGGATCGAAGGGGATCGATTCGGCGCGGGCCCAGCGTCGCGAGGAGCCGCGCCCGCCCGTCGCCACACTGCACTCCGCGCCTGCTTGCCCCCAGACAGGCGTGCGGCGCGCCGCCGGCAGTCCGCGGCCGCGGCGCGCCACCCGCCGCGCCCGCCGCCCCGTTCAGGGGCTCCGGGCGGCCCGGTGTAACCCGCCCGACGCCGCCGCCTCACCCGATGGGTGACCGAGGTGTCCGGCCGGTCCTGTTCGAACAGGTACTGGAACGACTCATGGCCGGAGATCTTCTTGCCGAGCGTCACCACGACAACCTTCTGGTCGCCCTCCGCCTCCAGGGTCCAGAAGGTGCCTTCAGGGTGTTTTGGGGGTGCGGCGGCACGATCAGCCCCTTGGTGGGTGCGCGGGGCGCCAGATCTGCACCCGCGCTCTGCAGGGACTCATGCCGTGGTTTAGGCTTTACATACTGCCATCCAGGCGGCGCCGTGCAAGTGGGATTGTTTGAGCTTGCACTGCAGCAGCCCAGTGCGCCGCGTGCGGCCACACGCGTCGGGCCAAAGCGAGCACGGGGCCGCGCCAGGCGGCCGCTGCCGTCCCTCGGCCGCCGGCCGCCCCGCGGCCGACCCGGAGCGCCCGGCCGCGGGCTCGCTCTGATCCCATGACTCACCGTCGACGTCGATCTCGCCGGCGTCCGCTAGGCTGCCAGAGATCAGATCCTCGCCCTTCACTTTCAGGGCGAGCCGCTTGGGGTGGGCCTCAAACTGCACGTCCTTGCCCCTCACAGCCGGGTCGACGGGCACGCGCAGGATCACCTCTTCGGTGTTTTGGGTCCAGCTCGCGCTGCATCCGGGGGCCTGTGGGTGGTGTACAGCGGTTGCGGATGTTGCCCACAGTCGGGTGTGCTGCATTGGCGGGCGCCTGATCCAGACTTTTCCGCCGCCGGCCTGGCGATTGGGGTGGCCCCGAGCGGTCGCGCGGAGGCGCATATTATCATGCGCGTAGTGATCCTACCGTCTTAAGCAGGGCCGACGGCTTCACGGAAAGCCTCCGCGATTGCGGCCTTGCGATCTGGAGCCTGTGGATCACCGGCCGCGCAAGGAGCCTGATCATGATTGATATGGTCTAATGTCTGGAGTTTGACAATCAGGTTGCGCGCAGCGTAAGGCGTCGCGTGCCGCGGTGCCGTCGCGAACTCTCTGCTGTTGTATCTTTTCACCACGCAGAATTGTGTCAATTGTAATGAAAAGTTGCATATTCACATTCAAATCGAGCTGTGCCAGAGCCATTCATGCCGAAGCGAGCTCGAGCGCCTGCTGCGCGCGCTGCGACTGCTGTAACGCCAGCAAAGACGTCGGCTGCCAATGGTGGCCGGCCCGGTCACACGTACACGTGCACTTTCACTCAGAATTCTCAAGCCATCTGCAAAGTGCATCTAGGCTTGTTGCACACACCTTGCAACGCAGACCTGCCCTGTGTGCCCACTTCACCGCCAGGCCAGCACGGGCGCAGATGTACCACAGGCCAAGAGACCTACGGGCAAGCCCTTACCTTCACATGTGCTACCATGGCGTTTAAGCAGACAAAAGGCACGCACACTCATGCATCAATGCCTTTGAATTGCGCGAGTTGCCGCCTCACACATGTGTGGAGCGACCTCGAGGGACTGCAACGCTCGAGCCTCCTGCAGCCACTTGGCAGGCCCGCGCGGCCCTGCCACGGCGGAGAGCGCCCACTGCCGCCTCTGCGCCCTGAAAATGAGCAACTCACCCCTCCCAGGGCCTGAACACACCGTTTTGAGCCAGGGCCCCGCGGGGCTGGCATGCCCATGCGTCGCGGCCCGCTTTCTGCTGCTGCTAGTCGCCTGCGCCGCCACCTCCATCAGTGTAAATGCCGCTGCTCAGTGCGCGCACACCACCCACGTGCTGCCGTACAATTACACGGACATCGGGTCATTTAAATAACGTCGGCCAGAGCATCCAGATCACTCCAGCTTCCCAAGCACGCTCTTCTCGGCCACGAACACCACCTCCCCCTCGGGAACCTCGACCTCGGCCATTGCGTACTTGTTGTACACGATCATGTCCCCGGGCTGGACCTGCAGCTGCACGCTCTCGCCAACAGCGATGACCTGTGAGCATGGGCAATAGTGTGTGTGTGTGTGTGTGTGTGTGTGTGTGTGTGTGTGTGCGTGCGTGTGCGCGCCCGTGCGTGCGTGCGTGCGTGTGTATGTGTGTGCGCGTGCATGATCATGTCAAGCGCTTGCTGCAACGCAAGACGAGACATTGAGGGTTGGCCAAGCGAGTTGTCTGAGGGGCTGCGTGCACTGAGAAGTTCACAAAGAACACGGCGGGCGCACAAAGGCGGCGCTGCATGCATGCACAAGAGTCCACCCCTCATCCGCGCCCACCTCTCCGAAGTGAGCGTCCGAGTTGGCCTTCGGCGGCGCGCTGGGCAGGAGGATCCCGCCGGCGGTTTTCTGCAAGGGGCAGCACGGCACGCGGGGGGAGGCGCAGGGTGGCAGGGGTGCAGTTCGACACGGAAAGTGCTCCAGGTACGCCTGCTCCAGCTGCTGGAATGTTTTACATGATGGTGGCACTATTCTGCTGCAGGCCTGTTGCTTCGCGGCGCCGCGGCGGCCTTTATCATCCTGCAAACTCCCCTCTGCCGAGGCCCGCGCCCAAGCAGCGCCAGCCGCATGTCTTCTCTGCGAGTGCCCCGAACGCAGCAGCTGTGTTCAAGTCGGTGCCGCACAACCGCCGACACTGCCCCGCCATGGCCCCAAAGCTGGGTCCTCACCGCCTCCTCCACATACGGCTTGATGAGCAGGCGGTCGTGCAGCGGCTGCATCTGCGCGCGACGGCAGCAAACCAACATGGGGTGCGACTTGTTCTGGTGAGGGGCAGCAGGATAACATGCCACAGCTGGCTGAGGGGCAGCAGAATAACATGCCACAGCTGGCTGCGTGCACGGGCAGCTTGATGGGTGCGGCACCCAGTCAGTCGGGCACGCGCGTGTGTGCGTACGCTGGCAATTGTCTGCCGCCCGTTGCATAAATGTCATCGATGCTGGTGGAAAAAGCCGGTTGGCTGCACTGACTGGGGTGCGCAGGCTGCTGGAGGAGCGGCGGCAGCGACGCTAAGATTGAAAGAAGCGCAACTCTGAGAGGGCCAACCGCGCACCTTGGAAATGTCCAGCGAGGCCCGCTCTGCCGTCACGGACCGCACTACCGGCAGCTGCGGCCGCCCTACATGCAGAGCAGGGAATTGCCTCGGCGATCTCATGGAGACTGCGAGCGGCAGCAGCTGAATCGCATGTGCGCAATATACTATACCTGTGCGCCCTCCATTGACCCTGCTGCTGCTGCTGCGGAAGGCCGCGCTGCCCCTGTGCACAAGCATGGCTGCTGCGGGCGAGGGATCGAGAACCAAGGCGCGCGTTGTAACTATACGGCGACAGTAGGACTATAGTAACTCAGCATGTGGAATATTGTGAGCATCGAAATGCACACTCATTGCTTGGCATTGCTCGACACGCCCACGCCGCGGGTGCGGCTGACCTGGGTGTTGCTCCGGAAGTGTCAGGCACCGAAGCCCGCGGCCATACGTTGCGCGAGTCCCGAGCTGCACTGTCACAATGCATTGCCTCCTTCAGCTCGGCGGCACCAGGACCTTCGTTGCAGAGCGGGCACCGCATTATACATTGACCTCATGTCTCCAATGTTGACTACCGGTGCGCCTGACAGGCAGTGCAGCCATCAAGACTTGAACGCATGTGATACCCACGTGTGGGATCACATGTGTTAACAAGTGAATTGCAGGCAAACTTGACAATTGCCCCGCAGATGGGTGAAAGCATAAGGCCTGGCAGGGCAAAACTGACGAGCCAACACCTGAGAAATGCACGTGATGTGGGCTGTGCGCTTTGGCAACAGTAATGGGTGTGATTGCTCTGGCTGAATTGCAGGCGGCGGCGCAGACCGCAGCCAGTCGCTCTCGTGCCCTGTCCCTGAGGGTGCCGCCTAGACAGAGGCGTGCTTTATGGCAATGCAAGCATCCAAGGCCGGCCAACAATGACGGATGCCGCAGCAGAAGGTTCAGACTTTAGAGTCCATGACTGCAGGCGGTGTGTTGGTGCAGGGCGGCGTGGCCACACGCCCGCACGCACGGCGGAGCGGCAGCAAACTCGTGCCGCACAAGCGAGGAGGGCACGGGCGTGATCAGGGATTGAGCCCCGCCAGTGCTGAGTGCATGGCAACAGCGGCGCTTCCTTCCAGCCAAGCCACGGCGGTTTTTGGGACCAAGGTTCGGCCGCTCGCGGCAGCGACGCGATGCGGAGCGCCGTGTTTGATGGATGGCCATCTGATGGACGGCATGATTTATATGTCAAGCAGCATGCTGTATACGTGAGCCACCCCCACCAGCTGAGTGGCCAGAACCCCTGATTGTTGCAGCAGGACAGCATCCGGCATCTGACGACTCAGCATGACCGGGGATAAACAGACTCCAATTAAACAAGCCAGCAGGCCCGGGAGGCAGCACCACGGTCCGAGGGGCCGGGGGCAGAAAGGGCCCCTGCCCGCGCCCTGGCCCAAGCCCGGACGCCCGCGCGGCCGCCCGCGGCTCACGCGTCGCAGCGCGCGCACTGGTGCTGGGCGGCGCCGCCGCCGCGGCGCGAGCAGGCGCCTCCGCCGCCGCCAGCCGCGCCGTCCAAGCCGAGGGCGCGCAGCCGCCGCTGTATGCGGGCCTCCGCCCGCCGCTGCCGCGACTCCAGGAGCTGGAGTCGACGCCGGTCAAGGACATATCATGTAGAAGTGCGCAAGAATAGGCGAGGACCATTCATGAGTCTTTTGTGAGGAAGGCCTCGGGCAAAGCACGTCGTCCCGTCCAGGACAGGGCGACTGCACGCACACTTCGCGCCCTGGCACGCTTGCAGCTTGTCGCTTGCGGGAGCGCCTTTCAGCCCCACCGAGCTCTGGCCCCGAACGTGCCCGAGCGCAATAGGATAGGCCCGCCGCACCTGCTTCCGGAAGCGCGCCCAGGAGGCGTCTGCAAAGCGGACGATGGCTGTGAGAGAGCTGCGGACGAGCACTGTGCTGTTGGAAGCCACCATCTCCTGATGGCGGGTCGTGGTTGTGTATTTATGTGTATGCGCGCGCATATGTGTGTGTGTGTGTGTGTGTGTGTGTGTGTGTGTGTGTGCCAAATTGGCGTCCTGCTCTCGTGCCTGAGGGAGGAAGGGCAAAGATCAAAACAGCCGACCACAGGATAGCAGCGAAACACAACAAAAGGACATGCCAGGTCGGGGCGGCCCCCAACCCACTCAACTTTACAACCCGCCCCTGCCCCGCAACGCCAGGCCGCTCCCAACCAGGGTGCACCCCAGCGCCCGTCTCACCCTGTCGCCGCTCTCCCACGCCGCCCACCAGTCCCTGTGGGCGCCGCCAGGCAGCGCCCAAAACTCCCTGGTCGATTGAGTGATTGGAGGGGCGCCAGCAGGCAGTGCATGAAACATACGTGAGCTGGATTCGAGTGAGGAAGGGCCTGTCATCAACGGGCCAGCTGCAGACACCAGAGGCGGCCGGGTGCAGTGTTGCCCGGGCCGCCACGCATGTGGGCGCTCTTGCGCACGGCGAGAAGGCGCAGCAATTGCTTCGTGCAGGCGGAGGGTGGCCGGCAACTTTGAGCTCCGGCCTTTCGCCCAGCACCCACGTCTTTTGTGGCCCCAACCCACCCATGCCCGACCCCTCGGGATCGCCTTCCTTCTTCCTATCTGCGCCCCGCCCCCTGCCGAAACACAACCGCCTACCAACAGTTGTAGGCGACCCCCCGGTCGAAGCGGTTGCAGTAGCCGGCTGACTCATGGCGAAGGTACATGTAACGCCCCCGGTTCACCCACTCGTTCACCGTGATGTTCGCGGCCGCCGCCAGCGCGTGCCGCGCGAGCAGCGCCGCTGCCATGGCGAGCGTCGGCGCGGCAAGCAGCAGCAGCAGCAGCCAGCCGGGGCGCGCGGCGCGCGCGGCCCAGAGCGCGCGGCAGGCCAGAGCGAGCCCCTGCGCCGCGGGCGCGGGCGCGGCGGCGGCGGCGCCGCCCGAGAGCGCGGCGTGGGCCGCGGCGGCCTCGAGCTTCAAAAAATCCCTGATCAGCAGTGACACAGCCAGGCGGATGAACAGGAGGTGGGCGCCCACCAGCGCCAGCAAATACAACAGGAATGTGCGCTGGTTGCCGGCGCCCACGCAGTTGCCCATGATGAAGCAGTGGTGGTCCAGCCGCTCGACGCAGCGCCTGCGATTTGATGAGGGGAAGGGGACCGGATCGCAGCGGCGCGCGGGCGCGGGTGTTGGGGGTGGCTGGCGGCCGAGGTGCCCCGGCGCTGGCCGGGGGTTGCGGAGGTGAGGCGGCCGGCAGCACGAGAGCATAGAACGCCTTGGGGGCGGGGCGAGCGCGGCAGCCGTCCGCTGGCGGGTGTATGGAGCAAGCGGGGGGGCATGAAGCTGCGCATGCCGTCGCCGCCGGCGTCAAGGTGCCCGCACCTGCAGAAGGGGCAGTGCTTGCTGCGCAAGTTACGTTCCACGCCGCAGGTCCAGCAACCGTTCAGCGCCCGGCCTGCGCCGCGTTTGCCACACGCGCCGCTGCCGCACGCGCTGCTGCTGCACGCAGCTGCGGCTGGCTCCGTGCCGCGCGCGCCCTTGCCACCTCCAGAGGGCTCTGCCGCCATCGCCACCTGATCATGCGCGCCGTTGCTGCCGCCTCCGCCGCCCCGGCCGTGGACGGTGAAGGTCGCCGCGGCGCCTGTCAGCTCCGACAGAGGCAGCAGCGCAGCATCTGCTCCCTCTGCCGCCGCCGCGTCCTTACACGGTGCTGCGCCGCACTTTGTCCCGCCCTGCGACCGTGCGCCGGACGCCTCCCCGGCAGCGCCGTCGCCCTGCCAGTGCGCGCGCTGATCTGGCGGAGGCAGCGGGGTGAACCCCGGATCCAGAAGGTACGTCCGCAGGTGCAAACCGATGACGGCGCAGCACGCCGCGAGCGTCACCGCCGCGCCGCCCGCCATGCCCATCCACGCGCCTGGCAGCATGTCGAACGCGACCACGCCGGCAAACAGGACCTCAAGGCTCGCGACCGCCGACGGCGCGGCGCGGGCCGCGGGCAGCTGCGACCGCTGCACGCCCGCGAGCCCGACGACCACCAGCCGCAAGCCCAGCAAGAAGCTGCCCGCCGCGGCCAGCGCGAGCCCCCAGAACGGCAGCAGGCCGCTGTGCGTGAGAGCGCCCACGAGCGCGAGCCACAGGGGCGGGAACAGCGCGTCGGCGTGGGTGCAGTACGCGCGCCGGTACAGTCCGATGCAGGACTGGTCTTCCTCGTCCGACGGCTTCCAGTCCGAGGGCGCGACGGCCTCGTAGTAAGTCCGAGGGTCCAAGCTGGGCCCGACGATGACGTCACCGTCGGCCCCGCTGGCGAAGCCATAGGCGTCAAAGGTCGGGCCGCTGCCGCCGCCGCGCGGCCCCGAGGCCCACGCTGCCGCGCCGGCGGCGGCAGAGGCGCCGGCGCTGCGGCTGGGTGCGAGGGCAGAGGCCGGCTGCCTTCCCTTGGAACCCGCAGCTGAGGCGCAGGCGTCGAGGCCCAGGCCCGCAGGCCAGCCGCCTGACGCGGCGCGACCGACCGCGGGCGCCGCCTCGACCCAGCCGCTGCCGGCGCTGCCGCGCCCTTTGCCCCTGTAGCTCGCCAGGCTGCCCCCCGCGCTGCCAGCAGCGCTGCCGCTGCCGCTGCCGCTGCCACCAACGGCCGCCACGCCGCCTTCTGGGGTCAACCGGGGCGTCTTACTCAGCGCCGCCGCTAGCGCGGCTGACGCCGCCGCAACCGCGTCACCCTCGGCGCCGCCGCTGGCGCCGCCGTCTGCGCCAGCCAGCGTCCCCGCCCCATCTGCAATTCTGGGCCCGGCTGCAACTGCGGGGAACGACGAGGGCGCGACGCCAGAGCTCGCTGCCTCCAGCAAAAACTCAGCAGAGGGATCTGTCGAGAAGCTGACCTGCGCGGGCGAGGGTTGGCATGTGGGTCAATGGAAAGCCGAGGAGCGAGCCCCCCATGCGTCGGCACACCAGAAACCAGATGCACGCACTGACGCTGCGACGCGACCGCTGCTGGGTGACTGCCCAAACAGCGTGGCGCTACACGGATTGGAGCAAAGCTGAGTCACAAGACGTGGTGGGCGCGCACGTGCTTCGCGGAGAGGGCTGCTGAGTGGCTCTCACCCTCGTCGTTATGCACGTGGGCGGTGATACGTCCACAACCCATTCGCCAGAAGCCGCCTGCACGGCACCTAGGTGGGGCACTTGGCCCGTCGTCGGCTGCACAGGGATGGGCGCCTGCCCGACGTGGCCCGTGCCCACTGCAAATGGGCCGCCGCTGCTGCCAGTGCCGCCGCTGCCGCCGTTGCTGCGGCTCGAAGCGCCCTCCGCCTGCCCCTGGAGGGCTGCAAATGGCGACACGATCCGGGCGGCGTTCGGGGTGGCTGCCGGCGCCGAGGCGTACGCCGCAGCCGGCCCTGGCAGTCCCGACAACGTGCCTGCACCTGCCCCGGAGGCCCCGATATGGGCCGCCCGCTGCTTGAGCTTCCCCAGCTGCATTTGGAGGCGTTCAAACGCTGCCTTTCGCGCATCTGCCCCGCCGGCGCGCGCCGGCGGCATTCCCCCGGCGCCCTGGTCCGTCCACGCGGCCGCGCCGCCCGCGCTGCGCGCGGGCGCGTCATCCGCCGTGAAGGGCGTGGCGGGTGC